GAGCCGCCCGCAGCCATGCCGAGCGGTAAGGAGACGCGGCTGCTGCACCTCGGCGAGATGGAGAAGCTGGACAAGACCCTCTTCAGGCTGGAGCAAGGTGGGTCGGCGGCGGCGGGCTGCGGCCTCCCGAACCTCCTCCTCGGCGGGGAGCCTCCAGGGCCGTGCGACATGGAAATGGCTGGGAGCTCACCTCGTTCTTCGGGCAGCGGTGGAAAGGAAGCTCAGCCTGCGGTGGTGGTCTCTTTTTTGTTTGTTTGTTTGTTTTAGTACATTTATCCTTATTTTAATAGGAAACAATTTCTGACATGCATACTTCCACTGCAGAGCTCTGTGGGCTCCAGTTACTGTTCGGTCTGGCTCATAAAACTTTTAAGAGATGAAGGGTATATTGGCTAGGAGCCGTCAGACTTTGTAGGAATGAACTGCAAAGCGTTTTTAGACAGGCCCTGCAGGACAAGTTCTCTTCTTTTGTACTTCAGTGATCAAAAAACACCCTGATAAGTCAAGCTCTCTAGTATTACCTGCAAAGTGTTATGCAACACCCCATCTTTAGTATTATACTTTTGAAATATATCAGCAATACAAACATTTTGATAAGTCTGAGGTAATATTTCAGAACATGGGATCTTTAGCTCTTCCTAAATGTTATATTGCCTGTCAGATTTTCTTACAGCTGTGCTGTGTTAGTATTCTGGCCACATACTGCTAAGAACTTGCAATTATTTCTCTCTGAAAATGTTCTTAAGTCTATTTGCAAAAAAAACAAACCAACAACAGAACAACCAAACCAAACTGAAAAATACCCCACTAATTGATCTACTGTTATGCTGGTCAGCAAATTCAGACTATAAAGCTAAAGCCACTGTCATTTTTTAATGATGCAGCAATTTTTATTACTCATTAAATTTTGTGGGGTTTATTACTTTATGTTACTGATCTAGGAACCTAATAACAAAGTGGTTTAGTAGAGGAGTAAGATCTTGGTTCTTGTGAAAAAGAATTCTTTTCCACTGTATAGATTTCAAAATTTTCTGACAGTTTAATCTAAGAAAATGACAGTAGTGAAGTGCAGAGTTTATCCTAACCTCTATTGTTAACTCATCGTTCCAGTTGTGTAAATTTTGTGGAAGGAGTCACACAGAAGTGCATGGCTATCAGACATTAAAGTGCCTCTGCTGGCAGCAGTCTCTGAGAGGGCATAGCTAATTTTGAGTGCAGCATTCCTGATGTCGGTATAGCTGTTACAGGAAAGGAGATATCAATGGCATATATCCGTGTGCTCTAATTTTAGTGATCCCTGTAATAAAATGTCAGGACAGTACTTGGGATAGTGTACTTAACCTTCCAAAAGTGATTTTTTTCATGTAAGGGGGTTTTTTTTGGCAATAAAATGAGCTTCATTTTGTCTGACAGACATTCATAGGCTAGAACTACTGCTTTACATGGTGTTTTGGTGCAGTGGTGATTATGTTAAGAAGAGAGACTGCGAGCTTGGTGAGACTTGCATTTAAATATGTTCAGACATTGAATTCTGATACAAGAGTCCCCATGATTCTACTTACTAAGCAAGTAGGTTTTTTTCAACTTAAGATACTGGAACTTGCCATTGTTCAGGGATTTTTTTACACTTTATAACTAATTGTCTGTGTGTTAATAACTTTCTCTTTGTACAAATACTCAGGTTTCTTTTACTCCCAATTTTGTAGACTGCTAGGGCTAGGTGTATTACTACAGTTAACTACATGACTGGCAAGTAGTTTAGTGAAACTTGCTGTGCAAGCACTTATATCTATTTCAGTCACTTCAAAGAATCCTGTATTTAGCCATGCACATGATGATGGCCCTCAAACCTGCAAGTGGAAACCTATTCTGAAACCTGTTGACTAAACTGAATGTTTCATATCCAGCTGAACAGACTACAGTATGGTTTTAGGTCCCAATATTTTAACTTAATTTTGTTCTCATTATCATGGATATATTAAGCCTAAATAGTGCTCTTTGCATGTGTGGCCTGCAGCACATATGCAAAACTCTCTTTGATTTGTTGAGCTCTCTGAAAATTTAACAATTTGTTTGTACCTTGTAGAATACACACAAAGAAGTATGATTTTAGAATTAAAAACATAAGGAATTTAGCATTGTATAGTGAACCCTTAGTGGAGAATGAAGAGATTTGAAATACTTTCTATTTCAAAATGTGCTCCTAGTTTTTTTCAGATGTTTTCATGCATCAGCTTAGTATATAGACTTGGTAAACCTAAATACTTAAATACTACGTAAACCAAAATCTGCATTAGTCTGATGATCATGGTGTTTTGCTGTATTTTGTTTTTAAGACTTTTTATATAGGAAAGAGGAACGAATTGGAAAGGACATAAATAGTGCCATATAAGTAAAGGAAAAGAACTATATAAAAAGTGTGCAAATAACAACATTGGGAAAATAGGGAGAGGTGATGATGTAGAAATATACCATTCTGCCAAAATTCTTGGCAAATATGTTGGTGCAGTTGCTTCTTAAAACAATAGCAAATTATGATTTGTAATTACGGAATAGAAATATCTAGTCCTCCTGATAAAGTGATTTTATCTTTTTTTTTTTCTTGAGGTTTTGAACTACAGTTCCGATTGGGCCCAACTCTTCAAGGCAAGCCCGTTACTGTGTACACAAATTATCCAGCTTCTGGAGAAGTATTTGATCGCCACAAGTTCAGGACACTACTGTGGCACAATCCCACAGGTAAAGAAGATGACTCTGACAAATACTGCAAGCTGGATCTCCAAATCTCTGGGTCATACCAGTACTATTTCAGTCTTGGGTAAGTGAAATTCTGTACTTAGAGCCAAATGCGGTCTTTGCTCCCTTGGTCTACATTTTAACCTGAAGAAATCACTCTTAAGAATAAAAACGTTTTTTCCATGCATTTTTCTAGGCAACTATGGGGCCTGTCTGAATTTGCTAATGAAAGACTATAGCTGTGGTGATTGTTTAATACTTTCTGATGCAGAGATACTCTGGAGACTATACGGAACAAAGTTGATCTTCCAACATCTGTGAATGTTGGAAAGTCAAGCCATTTTTAAAAGTTTCTAAAGTCATCAACATTCTAAGTATCTGAATTATTAACATGTGCTTTCTTCATTGACTTTGAAAATTGTTGGTTCGTGTTTTGTTTTGGTTTGTTTTTTCTTTCTAGCACAGAGGTTCTGGCAGTCTTTACTTCATTCTTTACTTCCTCCTTTTTTCAACAGGGCAAGTGCAGAGGAGAATGCCAGTATCTGTTATGATTGTACTCTGGTATTCTGAGTTTCTGGAGGATGGGTCGTTGAATTCCCTCAGAGTTAAAAGGGCATATAGCTCAGGTCTCTTCCAAGGATGATGCTCTAAATAGAGGTCTTTCTTTGTGTAAAAGGTGGGCAGTCATGCTTGCTTTGTTTCTGTCCATGTCCTAAAAGGAGGAACCAGTACCCTGTCTCAGAGAATAACAAAGGTTTCTCACTTCTGCAGAGAGTTTAAAGCTCTATATCCCAACTGTATTCTTGTAAGCATCTGGCATTAAGTCCAGTAGAGAGATGATGCCTAAGAGAAAAATACATCTTTAGTGTTTCCTGTTTTTTTCAGGTGCCCTGCAGTCCTGTTCCCCACCTTCCACCAACCACTGTACTGGGCTACTGTGTTTTTGAAATAGTTGTGCTTGTTGGATTCACTTTCTGAAACTGACTGGTACAGTGCGTGTTTACTATACCAATGAATATTAATTTTTCCTAGAAACGAAAAAAGTGGTGGAGGTTACCTAGTTGTGGATCCTATTTTGCATGTTGGAGCCGATAATCATGTGTTACCTTTGGATTGTGTTACGCTCCAGACATTCCTCGCTAAGTGTCTCGGACCGTTTGATGGATGGGAAGACAGGCTTAAAGTTGCAAAAGAAACAGGTAATGCCAGTACACATGTTAAAAGATACACGTTTTTGTCTAATGATCGAAAAAACAAAGTAACACTGAAGAGCTTCATTGTAAACAGCTCGTTTGTTCTTTATTTTGTAGACTAAATATTTTTTGCTGGATTCAATTTAGTTAACAGATTAAGTCAGTGGAATGATTAAAATATTTGCGGAGGTGCAGAAATTCAGGGATTTCCTGATACGGGAAACCACTTTTGTTTTACTGTTTTGATTTCAGATAGACCTGGAAGTTTGTAGAACTGACAGGGTGATTTTTAAAGTTTGTGTTCTGTCAAATTTCAAGGGGAAGATTCAGATTAATTTATACTGGTTATTCCAAACACTAGCTCTAAATACATGTTATAACTGTAACTTATACTTCTTTCAATAAACTTTGACTGAAATTTGTTTTTCTTATTAAATAAGTGGCTTCTTATTACATAGGTTACAACATGATTCATTTTACACCACTGCAGAAGCTTGGACTGTCTAGATCATGTTATTCACTGGCTGATCAGTTAGAAGTAAATCCTGAATTTTCAAGCCATAATAAAAAGTGCACTTGGAGTGATATAGGAGCTCTTGTGGAAAAATTGAAAAATGAATGGAATATGCTTTGCATCACAGATGTAGTCTACAATCATACTGGTATGCTTTTTGTGTGTGTTAATAACCAGACTGGTCTTATAATCACATTTCATTATTTCCCTTATCTTTTCCCCCTTGAACCCATCTTTTAGTAACTGTTCTAAGCAAGTAAGTTGCTGTCTCTCAAATCCAGGCCAATTCTTTACAATTATAACTCGTATGTTGCCATAACAGGTGTAAAAGAATTTAGTATTGTTGCTGAAAAAGTGAATAGAGCCCTTCCCAAAGATAATTAATGAATTGTGTGTGTGTCTGTATTTTTATAATATGCTTATTTTTATGATCTGTGATGTGCAGCTCCCACATAAATGAGTGGAATCTGCATTATGAATTATGAACATAGTTAAAATGAATACTTTCTTGTTAAACAGGGTATTATTCTTGTAGCTGCCTAAAAGTAACTGCTCTAATTTGGATCTAACACGCAGACAACAAACAGAATAGGAGCAAGAGGCTAGGATTAAGGAGGAAATGTTACAGTTTGGTCTGTGGCGGGGGAAAAAAGATAGCTTTGTGTTTGGAATGGGTGATTTTTAAGTATAGATACACCAGTACTTTGAAGGCTTTACTTACCATAATTGCTTTTCGTAGCTGAAGTTGTCCATTGTGCAGAGAGGAACAGTGGGTTTTCTTGAGTATGATCTGATGAAATTTAAATTATAGTACTTAATGATTCATAAGTTTGATTACTTGGATAATGGGTGTACTTTGATTATATTTACAATACAGTTTTCATCTTATGCTGTAATTCTAAGATCACAATGATTAGCATTCTCATAGCAGAGAGTACAACAAAATGTTACGTACGTCGACCTTACAGTCCTTTGAGGACTTAAAAAAAACCCCAAAAAACTAGCCGCTGATATCTGTAAATTTGAAGCTTTATTTCCTGTACTACTTTGGTGTTGACTGCTGCCAAACATTCTTATCCAATCAGTTTGCAATGCAGTGTGGGCCCTGTTGTTTGCCCTGTTTGTTGAAAAGTTATTAAGTATAGTTATTTGCTGTATGTCTGAGGGAATTAGGCTTTTAAACATTCTCCCAATTTCAGATAAAAATATCTTGCACTTTACCAGCTAGAAGTCCGCTTTCTCTCACATATGCGTGAGATCCTGTCATCTTTTTACTGTGTATATTTGCATACTACCAAGCAGAATGTTTCTATGGACAGAAATATCTAAGTCTAAAACTACTTTAGTATATATTTGAGAAGAAAACTGCTCATGATTACCTGACTACATCTGTAGAAAGACTTTTTCAGGTTACATTCAGAGTTCAAAGTAATCTTCACTGGGATGGATGACTAAACATTTATACTATTGTGAAAGAATGTTTGTGTCTTCTAACAGGATAGAAATATTCAAATGACCATGGTTCAGACTTACATAATTAAGCAAGATATACTTGATAGCTTTGTTTCCTGCTTTCAAAGTTTTAAACTCAAATTTGTTTCGCCTCTTTGTTTTTTTGTAATTAAAACCTCTTGATTTACAACTGACTCCAAACTTTGTTAAATGCTAAAATTAGCATGAGCAGAAAGATACATTGATAAATGTCTGAGTAAGCAATAATGTTGTATATGCCTATGGAGGTCAAATATTTTGGGGGCTTTTGAAATAAGAAAATAGACACATAGTTTTGGGGGTTCTTTCTGCCTGAGTCATGATTAGATGGAAATTTAAATTTACTGGGTTTTGGTGTTTAAATGAACAGTAATTTCTAGTAATTAAATTAGTTCATTCCTGCACATTAGGGTGATTTGATTGTAAAACATGTTTCATAGACCCATTTGAATGTAAAAGACACAAAATGTATAGTCAGTTATTTTGAGCAGATTAAGGATATTTATACATTGTTACTAATTCTGCAGCACATTTGCATTAAAATCTGAAGTTGTCTCACAGTAAATCCTCTAATGCTGGTAATTCTAACAGCTCATGACCTTTCAGCTTACAGAGGTTGTATCTGTTGGTAGTTTCGGCTTTCTAGCTGACACCACTGCATAAAAATGGCAATGTTTCCCGTCTGTTCCTCTTGTAAAGCCAGATAGCTCACTTTCAATATTAAGTGGTTAAGCTAAGGTTTTTGTAAAGGAGAACAAACTGCTTGCACAGTAGAGAAACAATTTTTGATGTTAACATGTCTGTCAGTCTCTAGTGAAAGCCAGCATCTATGGACTGACTTTAAGGTAGATGCTTGTGCTAACGTTAAATATAGATGCATCTTTGCCATGTTAGCAGGAGTATCTTGTAAACCCTGTCTGGTACAGAAACTTGTAAACGCTGTCTGTAACTGGGTAGATGTGCCCTTTTTGGGCTGCCATTTCCTTCAGAGTGTTCAAACCCCCTAAAGTAAGAAATACTGTGTTCGCTAGCATTTATTTTTCACCAAGAGATAGAAAAAGGAGAGTTGTTTTTTTCTTTTCTGAGCTTTCAGTGGCTGTAATAAATCATAAAATAAACTGATATATTTTCTTTGTCTTTCAGAAGAGGCTACTATTATCTAATTGCAATTTGACGCTTGAGTAAATCCTATTTCCAAGCATGTGATGAATCACATTAAACACCACCTTTTCTCAGTATTTTTAAGGGAAGAAAAAAACCCCAGAAGTCTTGGGCAATGAGCATCACCACTAAATATTAAGTTTGTGTTTAATTTAGATAAAAATTAATTAGTCCATTGAAAAATGTGAAGTTATTTTCTTAAATAAGAGTGCATAGACTTTTAGAAATCATTTTCTGTAATTCCTCCTCTTAATGTTTCCATGTTTTTATACTTAAGTGTATTTTCTCCCTAGCTGTAACAAATGTAATATGTAATGTTTTGGGCAAATCTTTTTCTGCAGAATTGGAATTATTTTGGTGTTGTGAATCATTGGAGCTTACCTTCTGATCAGAAAACATCATTCTGTTCTGTACCAGAATTAGTGGAAGGCCTGTTGACCTTTTTTTTTTTTTTCATTATAAGACCTTAGATTTAAATGATGTATTGTCTTTTTAGAATTAATTGTATTTATTTATGAAACTCCTTTTTAGTAAATCATGGTTCTTGCTAGATGAATACAGTAAGCTAGTTTTGCTTTTTGGAGAATTTTTTTTTGCCATTTTTGTAATTGTCTTTAGATGTAGTGTAAGGGTCTATAGAATAGCTGTTCATGCTATACACTGAGTGAGCACACTCTTTTCTTTCCCTTTGACATTTTTATTTGAGCTTCTTTGAACTAGGAAAACTTGTGGTTTAGGTGTTAATTGTTCTGCTAGCATTTTGGACATGTTAATGGCTCTTTCTTCATGTTTCCAATATGCTAATTGGTTATATATTTTTCCTTGTGTGAAGTACCACTACTATTTTTTCTCTGCTTTTCTAAACCAAACGATTAATAAGACGTGTTCTATGAAAAATGATTTTTAAAAGAACTTGTAAACCCTGAGTAATAGTTTTGTTGTTCTTATGCACTCTGTGGTGGTTTTTTGTGTTTTGTTGTTTTGTTCTGGTTTTTTTTTTACACTTTGCATTTCAATTGCAGACATTCATTTAAAAGAATGTATGAAATTTGTTTTCAGTTAAACTGTGTTTTGGACAGTTCCCAAAATGGAAAGAAATTAACTCAAGGATTTTTTCTTTGTTGTCATATGTCCAAAATCAAAAATATCTCTGATATGTATGTATTTACTCATACTGCTGCGTGCACACTACTGTCTATATTAGAAGATTACACCCATTTTTCTAGTGAAGGCTCCTTACCTTCCCTGAATTAATTCTTAATTTCAGCGTATCTTCTGGTGCTTGTTGATTCTGTGGGAGAAGTTTAGAAAATACATATATTAGAGTGTAGTGTTTGATCTGAACTAGTATTCTATTTACATACACCAGACAGTGCTCTCACTTCCTATGTAAGACTCGGTGGCGTTGCTTCCCACCCCTCTGCTTCTTATTATGTGCACAACAGTGTCACAGCTAATTAAAGTCCGTTTAGCTACGTTTTCCATTAATTATTTCTTGGGCAGTGTGTGTATATCATCTGATAGGGTTAAGAATGTTAAGAAAAACAGCCCATCTTAAATCTTGGTTTGGGATGTAGGTTTGGCTTTCAACACATAGAGCACTTCATTTGATGTACTTCCTGCAAACAAAAATGTGATTTTATTTGTGTGTGTGTGTGTGTGTTTTAGAATTGGTGGTACTATTGCATATTTTTATGTAACTAACAAAAAAGTTTCTCTGCAGTCTCTGCAACTGTATTTGTTGCAAGACAGTTGCTATCAGTAATGCACACCTCTTCATAAGACATATTTTTCTGTTGGCATGGAAACTTCAGTTGAAATGTGAACTAACTGTACATGCCATAGTACCTTAACTTCTTGGTGTCAAGACATTTGCACAAAGCAACCAAGTGTTCAGCTTCTGTACTTTTTTTTTTTTTTTTTTTTCCCCTCCCTCTCCCTTTCTTGGATAAGCAACTAGCAGTGAATGGCTCAGGATGCATCCAGAATGTGGCTATAACCTTGTAAATTCTCCTCACCTGAAGCCAGCTTGGGTCTTGGATAGAGCTCTGTGGCATGTGACTTGTATGGTGGCTGATGGAAAGTATACTCCTAAAGGGCTCCCTCCCTTGATTGAAAATGATCATCACCTGAATGTAAGTGAATGAGAGCTAAGTATAAGCTAATAAACACCATAAATCACTGAATAAATGTTGAATATTTTTAAGGTAGTGGAAATGCACAAAAAATGGTGTATACTTTGCAGATATATTTAATGAAATAACACTACTCCCCAGTCTTTGTTCTGAACAATTCATTAGAGCACTTAGCTTTTCTTAATTATATTAGTCATCAACATTATTAACTAACATAATTTTTATTTTTACAGTGCATCCGTAAAATAATTTGGGAAGATGTATATCCAAGAATTAAACTATGGGAATTTTTCCAAGTGGATGTTAACAAAGCTGTGCAGCAATTTAAAACTCTTCTAGCTCAAGGTAAAGGAAGGGTACGGTGCTGAAGCACGTGGATTATATATTTATAGTTCAAGAAACTTGTAGGTAAACTTAACAATAAGCTGGAAAACAAATTAATCATATCTTTTCCAATGTGAGAAATCTGTTGTGCTGATTTATGCGTACAAGAATGCTTCGAGGGCTAGTAAAGCCTTTTTGTAGACTTTGCATCCCTCCAAAGCCTTTATCTACCTGTACCTTGCTTATGCTAGAATTATAAAAGTTGTATGTCTTTTAAATGTAATGCCTAGTTTTACTTTATGAATACTCTTTTCTGTCTTGTTCTTAGGCAAAATGAGCACTAAATCTGATCCAAATCACCATCTTCAGATAGTTCAGGACCCTGATTATAGACGATTTGGCTGTACTGTAGATATGAATATAGCATTGGCAACATTCATACCACGCAGGTATTGTATTATTAGTTAGAAGTTAAAATCACAAGTGAAGTTAAATTTGCAAAAACAGACAAATGGAATTGTTTGCAGAGATGGGAAAAATTTAATTTTTCATTTGTTCCTTTTAGTTATATATACTGCATGTTTTAAAAATAAATTATTCTAATTGTTCTCTGCTTTTAATGTTCTTCTGATAAGCAATGGACCAGCTGCCATAGAAGAATGTTGCAACTGGTTTCGCAAGAGGATTGAGGAACTGAATGCTGAACAATACAGACAAACTAATCACCATCAAGAGCAGGTCTTACAATTACTGTGTGTTAATGCAGAATTGTTTTAAATTGCAAATAAATGCACGCATTTCAATAATGGATAATTTAATTACTTCTAGGCTGTCAATTGTCTTGTGGGGACTGTGGTTTATGAACGACTGGCTGGTGATGGTCCCAAGCTGGGTCCTATCAGTAGAAAATATCCTTTAGTTACCAGGTATTTTGTTTGTTTGTTTGGAAACTACTGGAATCTGTGTAGGTTTTAGAGTTCATTAAAAGTGTGCATTTGTATGTACAGGTGTATGTTTTCTTTCCTATGGGCAAGTACCACTTAGTGAACTGAGTGTCTTTTGTAAGCAACTGTAGTAACTCTTTAATGAACAAATGTGACCATAGAGCATTAAACAATACTCGGAGCACATTGAAGGCTTACATAGTGCGAATTGCTCTTGTAGGTGGAAGAGGGGTGGAACTAGGAAAGCTTACACCTTTCAAGTTTGAGGTAGTTGATGCCACTCATGTATCTGAAGGGCTAGGGCTTTAATCTTACACTACCAGCTGACACCAAGATAGTGGCAACACCTGTCCTTTCTCCTTCAAGGCATGCTATAAAATAGAAAGCTCCCCATCATTTGCAGTGTAGCAGCTGTGTGTTTTTGTATGTCTGTTTTATCTGAGAGTCAGTTCATAGATACTTGAATTTCAAAGACAATTAATTTCAGCTTAGGTTACCTTATGAGGTTGTGGGGTTTTTTTAATTGCCTGTCTATTCCATAGGTATTTTACTTATCCATTCAAAGACCTAACTGTGGAGGAAGAAGAAACTATGATCCATCAGCCAGATAAAGCTTGTTTTTTCATGGCTCATAATGGCTGGGTTATGGGAGATGATCCTCTTAGAAACTTTGCAGAACCAGGTTTGTAAAAGAACTTTGAATCATCTTATAAACATTTTGATATTCTAGCCAAAGCAAAACAATTTTATTGAATCTATTTTTTTCCAGATGTATTCCTATGAGCTGCAGAATAGTAGACAGATATTCATATTATAGCATATTATTTCATATTCGATGTATGCGTCAGCTATAAGAACTGGGATTTGAGGTACAGTTTTGCAAGATTTGCATAGAAAATCACCAACTTTCTGCTACTGAAATGGGGACATTCTGCCTCCCCACTTCTGTCATTGTCTTTGCTTACTTTGTACTTTGTTCCAACACAGCTGTTTGCTGGCATTTCCATAAGACCATGACAGTGTGGCAGAAAACTAATGCTATAAAAAGGTGAATAGTATTTTACTGCGTTAGTGAGCAAAAACTGGATCCTTGAAAGTTCCAGTGAGTGGCAGTCAATAGGTGACCCAGTTAATCCGAAAGAAGTATGTGGATTTCTTGTGAAAGTAACATAGGGTATGAATTCACCATGCAGTAAAATACTGTATTCAGACTTCTTTGGGGACAGTACTGATATCCAATAAAAGCAAGGCTGGCTACTCTTCTTTTCAGAGTACTCATTCACTTTATAAACTGAATCGAACAAAGGCTAGTTTAATTAAAAAACATCTGTCTAAGAGTTAGTTGAGTCTGCTTTAGAAGCTAATCTGATTGGTATTCCAGAGTGATCTGGAGTTAGCAAACAGCTCATTCCTGCAAAATAATCTACAGCCCTTTCACTGCTTTTTATTTGCCTTTTTTTTTTTTTCCCTTGTTCGCAGACATGAAAATAATATGTATTTCAAGAATGTTTTTGTTCAGTTGCCTTTCAGCTAATTTCCCTTTGTTCTGGGCAGACTGTTGTGTTTTTTTCCTTCAGTCAACGGCTTTAGTTCGCATACCTAACTTTTGTTACTGAGTTTTCTCTCTTAATTAGTCTACAGCTTCTTCACTGCTTTATGCTTGTGTTATACCTTTATTTTACGCTACACATTATTTCAACTGACAGTACAGAGTGAAAAGATGATACATAAGATCACAAATACAGGAACTGCAAAACAAATGCAGCTAATTATGTAAATGGCCCTTAAAGATCATGGTGTACATTCAAAGAAAGACAGTTTTTCTGTCCATGTAGCTATGTTGCTGTTAGTAAAGATAAAAGGTAGGCTGTGCTTAAGTGAATGTTTTTGGAAGTAGTGGTGGCCTACAATCCATGCTCTTTATTTACTAGTTGCTTACTCTTGTTTTGTGTCTTTCATTGTGTAGGCTCAATCACTTAGGTGTCTGTAAAGTGAGCCTTAGGAAATTAGTCTGAAATAATCTCTTTGCAGGATTACATTTCAGATGAACAAGTCTCCTGGTCTAATTCAATGTTCAACCACCAAAATAACTGGTGATGGCGTCAGTATAGCCATTCTGGGAGTAGCAGAACGCAATGGAGTAGCTGTCTTACCATCCTGAGTGATGCTGACACTGTTCATGCTTTGATCAGGTTTAGATAAAATGAATGTAAACAGACCTTCAGAAGACTGATGGCTAGAAGATAATTGTATTTCTCTTATGAGATTATTGACAATTCCATATTTGTGCCTTGATATTACATGTTGCATATAGTGTGGGGTTTTGGTGGATTGGTTTGTTTGTTTTTTAAATGATGTTATTGCCATTGTCAAATTCGTGATTTATGTGGGACAGAAGTCACTTTTTTTAGATATGACTTATTTAAGTCTTTGTCACTGTTAAACCTCTGTCAGTATATTCTGTGTGGTAAGTATATTACAGGTGAAATCATATTTAAAGATTTTTTTTATTGCATCAAAAAGAAGGCAAAAAATAGTATATGAAACTAGACTAGATGGAGGATAAATATTTTCATATACACAAAAATTATTTAGGGACTTTGTTCATTTAAGTGACCTACTTGCCTAAGTACTTAGAAAATATGCCTTACATCATCATAGTCTGCTGTTAACAGGAGATAGTCTAAGTTGTGGCTGTGGCATTTATTTATGCTAATGCACTGAGATGCTTTTTTTAATTTGGCCAGTATAAATAATGAACTACCAATTTTGTTCATTTGTTTGCTGGGTCTTTTTTTGTATCAAGTACAGATTTTATACTACTTTGAAGAATTAAAAGGAATTTGATTTCAATCTGAAGAATTATTTCAATATCACTGTAGAAGTTAAATGTTCCCTTGGAGTAGTCTGAAATTATACAACAGAGTAGGATATATAGATTTTGAGTTGAGATGGTTATTGTTAGAATTTTTACTCTTCATCACAGTGTTCTACAGCAGTAGAAAATTAAATACCATGTTTTTGTTTTGGTGCACATTCTATACTATATATATACACTGTAGTGATTTTCTTTCCCTTACAGGTTCAAATGTTTACTTGAGAAGAGAGCTTATTTGTTGGGGAGACAGCGTGAAACTTCGTTATGGTGATAAACCTGAAGACTGCCCGTACCTCTGGGCACATATGAAAAAATACACTGAAATCACTGCCAAATATTTCCATGGTGTTCGTCTTGACAATTGTCACTCAACACCTATTCATGTAGCTGAGGTACGCAAAAGTAAGCATGCTTATTATAAAGCAGCTTCTGTCTGTGAAATTAGTCCTGCACAGTTGCTATAAAATCTGCAGGACCTATATGGCAGAGGTTATGTGTGAATGAATCTTCTTCATAGCGTAAGCAAGGTTTCTTGATTGGTAATGTTTAGGTACGGTTTCAGCTACTTTAAATGGTCAGTAGTGTGGTGTAGCTACTGTATCTTTTAATTTTCCACTTTAGCTGAAATACTGCAGATGTGCATGGAGCTGGCTAGCTTCTCCCTCACGCAGCTATGGACTTAGTGCAATGACTGCCAGTGTCCAGTATGTCAGTTTTAGCTGGGGTCGTTGCCAGGACTTGGTTGAAAGTCTTAATGTTTCTTTGCCATATATATTTTGCTATTTCTGAATTAAACAGGAAGTGGTTTACTTCCCAGAACTTAAAAGATGGTAAAGAACACCTGCAAAAAGTTTAGTCTGGCAAGCTTATTGCTAAGATTAGTGCTTAATTGTTTACTATGGAGCTGACTATATTCACAAATTCAATTTATCTTGTAAATTAACTTAAAATAGTTTTGAGTAGAGCAGCTTGTTAGTGCTTAGTCTTAGCTTGGTTACAAAGTTTACCTAAATCTATGAAAAGCTTTCTAAAACAAGTTGATTTGCCTACACAAAAGTTGTAAGTGGCTCTTAAATGCAGCCATTTCCAAACTTCTGCCATTCTTTCACTTATTGTTACTATTTTTGGAATGGTAACTTCGAAGTCTTAAACTGAAGTCCTCCTCAGATATTTTACCTTAACAGATGTCTCTTTTATCCAATCTTTGTTCTTGCATTTTGAGTTAAGATTTTGTTTAAAAATGGAGTTGTAATTAACTTAGTCTTCAGAGAATTTCCTAGAATTACTCGGTCCATAAGTAACATCTGTAAAATATAAACATGTTTTTATGAATGGTACCTGTTAATTAATATTTTTTTAATGAACTGCATATATCAACATCTCATATATGTTTGGTTAAGTCATGTTGATGATTGCATATACAAAGCTGAAAATTAATGTCTTGCATTAAAAATGTATTATGATCTATAGGAGATGCTAGCAACAGCCAGATCAGTCAGACCTAATCTTTATGTGATAGCTGAACTCTTCACGGGCAGTGAGTACATTGACAATGTTTTTGTCAACCGTCTGGGAATTACCAGCCTGATTAGAGGTACAATAAGCAGTTAAAAATTATGTAGGATTGTCGTGTATGGTTTGGAGTTTTTAATGTGACACTAACATTGGTATACTTTTTTTATTTTTCTTACGTATTCGTGTTCTTTGCTTATGCAATTACCTTTTTCTTCTTCATGTTCTATTTAACTTCTCCTATGTTGTATGCTAATTCTTCATTTTGCTTGCATTTGTGTGTCCTCTTCTTTGTAACAACTTTATTCCTTAATTTTGGCTTTTTCTTTCTTTGCTGCATGGCATTTTTCTGTTGTCCAATCCTTGCCTAGCTTTGAAACTTGTCCTATTTTGTATCTGCCTTTCCCCTTTCTGTGGCTTTTTTGGCTGTGCTTTTTGCAGTACATGCTGGACACAGCTAGAAAATTGCGAGCCGATTTGTATGTAGTGGCTGAACTGTTCACAGGAAATGAGGAGCTGGACAATATCTTTGTGAATAGGCTGGGCATTACCTCCTTAATAAGAGGTAGGCTTGCTGTGTGTGTGGTCTCTTTCCAGCGAGAGATTATAGATGGCGTGCTTTTTCCAAGGAAAAGGTTTTTTCTGGATTATGCACTTTTAATTACATACTCTACGTAATCAAAAGTACAGTTTCTGTATAGTGACTTTTTTGATATTCAGTAAAAGATACAGTACTAGCTGTAAAGTAAAAGGAGGACATCCTGCATTAGTTCACAGAAGATTAAAGATTTCACTTATTCTAGTGAGAGAAAAAGAAGTTCTAGCACAGTTCTGCTATGCAAGTGCTGCATCATGTCTGATTTTTGTTGTTTGAGTTTCTTAAAGCCTATAAGAAATAGTTTCAGATCTCTGCTTTTTTCTCCCTTTTTTTCACTTAGCTTTCTCTACCTTAATATGTTACAGTAGATAGAATGCTCTGTGGTTATGTATCCACACTGGAGAATATAGTTATGTGGTTTGTAGTTTGTTTTGTTTTGTTTTTTTAAATTGAGTACACCAAAACAACAACAAAATGCTGCATTGACGTCTTTGTGCATGATGTACTCGGTGGTAGTTATTCTTATGCAAACACTTACCTATTTTGTTCTTTAGAGGCAATGACTGCTTATAATAGCCATGAAGAGGGAAGGTTAGTTTATCGTTTTGGAGGTGAACCTGTTGGCTCTTTTGTGCAGCCACGTTTGAGACCTTTGACACCAGCTATTGCTCATGCGCTGTTTATGGATATTACACATGATAATGAATGTCCAATTCAGGTGAGCACCTAAACCAAAAACCAAAGTTTACATTTAATGTTTTCTGAGTTGATATTTATGAACCATGGGAGGGCTTGGTGCAATCTGGATGTTTTTCCTGAGTGATATTTAGGAAAAATGTGTTTCACATCTTCATGTTTTCATAGAGAGAATGAAATTTTAGAACAGCTCCCTCTGATGTTCAAGATTTTGTCTTTCAAGGGGAAAAGTACATTAAAGCTACTTAATAAGCTGTTTTGATTCTTTCATTGCAGCTACTGTAAGTGGTTCTGTCTCTGCTTGTTAACGTGTTCTCCTAAGCTCCTGTTTTACAGGAGAAAATGAGAATGCTAGGAATTGGAGTATTTTTGAGGGTTTCTCGTAAGTTGCTTCTTTTTAATAATCCTCTTGTGATTGAGGAACTGATGATTATGTGATTAGCAATTCCTCTGTTAAACTGAGTATATCTTCTGTATGCTGAATTGGGAGGGATGAATTATGTTTTAAATTCATGAATTATTACCTATTTATTTTTTAACATAGCACCGATCTGCATATGATGCTCTTCCAAGTGCAATGATTGTTTCCATGGCATGCTGTGCTACAGGAAGCACCAAAGGCTATGATGAACTAGTACCACACCAGGTATGTGTCTACAGTTTAACGCCTAAGTTACTTTTAAAAATGTAAGCTTTATTCTTGTCCTAGGATATATATTTATTTTAACATTGTTTATTTGAAATTCCAAGCAGTTTACTAGCTGGCATTACTTTGGATTGTCCAATTTAATATGAAACTTGAATTGATGGTATAGTTGAGACCTCCAGCTGGTTTTTTTTGTTGGCTTTTTTTCAGAGTAGTTGATATTTGCTTAAATCTTAATTTTTTTACAGATCTCTGTAGTATCTGAAGAGAGGTTTTATGCAAAATGGAATCCAGCAGCACACCTGACTTCTGGTGAAGTTAATTTCCAAACAGGAATTCTAGCAGGAAGGCTGGCCATAAACAGGCTGCATCAGGAGTTGGGGACTAAAGGCTTTAATCAGGCAAGAAGTGAGGTTAACATGGCAATTTCTCCATGTTTATGTTCTGAATGAGTGTAGTTGCAATGATATGTCTTTTCTAGGTGTATGTAGATCAAGTTGATGAAGATATAGTGGCAGTGACAAGACATTGTCCAAACACCCACCAGTCTGTTGTGGCTGTAAGTCGAACTGCTTTCAGGGATCCTAAGACTTCCTTCTACAGTAAAGTAGTACCTGAAATGTGTATCCCAGGTAATCAGATTTCTTTTCAAGAGATGGCAGGTGTACAAAAAAAATGCAAGGTATTCTAGTGCCATACTTTTTAACTTCAAACACGTGAAATCAATATGAGAATTTTCAGTATATAACTCTCCTTATGTGTACTAACCACTTTTGGTGCATGCATATTAAAGAAACAATAACAAAATTACCTTGCTTAGGGTTTTCAAAGACATTTGTAGTGAGTATACTTCCTGTTATAAGCTCCCCATGAGGAAAAAGGGAAAAAGGCTAAAATCTTACCATATTTGTCAATGTCATTGGTATTCAGCTTTCTTGTGTATACCTGTTTTTGTGGTTTTAAAATATATCTTAATAAGAAACAACATTGTACTGTGTAAGTTAATATGAAGATAATATATAGTACATACAGAATATTAATCAAATATGCAAAGTATAACAACTTCTACACATCACCTGGCCATATTTCTGAACAGATGCTTTCCAAACTGGCTTTTTAAGTAATCTCAGTTCTTTAAAACAGGCACACACATGCACACAAAGTCAGTTGCATTATATGTTAAGACATTTATGAGTGGCTGCAAGACTTGGATACCTTAGTTTCTAGATTACTGAAAGGATAGAGAAAATTATTTTAATATTAACATAAGTTGTTACACTTTTGAGATAAACAGTCTGTAGCTGCGGTTTGGAAATCAATCTAATACAGTCTCCTAAAAGATAAAAAGGAAACTAACAGAGCTGGTGATCAGTAAAAGACAGGTTGTAATTCACTAATTGTTGACTGACTCTTCGGGTTAATTTTATTATAAAATAACAAAATTACAGTTCTATGTAAAATACAGCAAATGAAGGAACATTTGTAGGATCTTTTAAAACACTTCCCCATATGTGTTGTCACATTTGGTTGTTCTTTAGCTGTACAACTGAGACTTGTATTTTGAATATTTAGATTCTTACTTTTAGGTTTTGCTTCATGTTTTTGAGAGAAACACTTTAAATAATGCGGCATGATTTAACTTTTCTTAGGAAAAATAGAAGAAGTAGTACTTGAGGCTAGGACTATTGAGAGAAATGCTAGTCCTTACAAAAAAGATGAACATTTTATAAATGGATTGCCTAATTTCACAGTGGAACTCAGAGAGCATATCCAGGTAATTAACCGCTTTCATCCATGTTCTGGTGTGATATTTTGTAATTTGTGATATTTTACATTAGAGAAAAAGACATTTAATTTCAGTTGCAAATGTGTTTTCTTTTCTAAGATTAAAGACAGTAAAATCATAAAGCAAGCTGGAACTGCCATAAAAGGGCCAAATGAATTTGTTCAAGAAATAGAATTTGAAAAATTAACGCCAGGAAGTGTAATAGTATTCAGGTACGTTATTATGGTTGCCAAACGGCTGTGTGAGTTAAAATAAAATGATAGGATTCTTTGTTTTGAGACTCGGGAATAGTTGTTGTAAATGCTACATTTCTACAAGTTATACATTCATATTTACAGAGTTAGTCTTGACCCAAAGGCACAAGATGCTGTTGGTGTACTCCGCAATCATTTGATCCAGTTCAGTCCTCATTTTAAATCCGGAAGTGTTCCTGATGATCATTCAGCACCTATATTAAAAACATTGTTTTCTTCGTGAGTATTCTTTATGTTTCTGAAGTAGAACTGAAAGCGCCACAGTGGGAGCAAAGAACAGTCTGTAAACTTAGTGAGGAGGAGTGTGGTTTGTGGTTTTTGAGTTGGTTGGTTTTGGTTTTGTTTGTTTTTTTCTTCTACTATGGATGGCTTTGGGTTGTCACAGTGTATTAAAAACTCTGAGATACTCTTTTTATATGTGTATTACTAAGCAGGGTTAATACTTATAAACTTCCTAGGCTCTTTTGTTTGCGTTCTGTGTGGTTGCTACTTAAAGTATACTTACTAACCTGGAGTGCTTGTCAGTGTTGGGGAATGATTGTCCAGGGTTTGTACTGAAATATCTGAACAGAACATCTTAAAGTATCTGAAAAATCAGGCTCTTCATTTCCAAGATTAAGTGGAGAGAGAGTGGTATATATTGAATTATTTTAATGTAAGTCCGAAACTAGAATTGTTTGTGAAATCCGTTCTGTTTCCCTACTAATGTTGCTTTTGCATTTGGAATTTTTTTTTCCTCAATCATTTTTTCAGTATTGCATCTAAACTAACTTTGGCTGACCTAAATCAAGTACTGTATAGGTGTGAGGCAGAAGAACAAGAAGATGGTGGAGGTTGTTACAATATACCAAACTGGTCACCGCTGAAGTATGCAGGTCTCCAAGGTAATAGTTGCAGCATTCTTCATTTTCGGTCAAGAAAAAAAGTAAAATCAAGCTACTCAATCTACATCATACCTTCATGCTGTATGGCTAGTGCTATTGTTTGTATAAAAAAACAGTAAATTTGTTTCTGCTTGACCATACTACTAGTCAGTGTTGTACCCAGGAAATCACGTAATAAAACAAGAACCCTCTCTCTCAATACTCTGGGCTGGAAAATTAAGTTTCAACATGTGTTTTAAAACCAATGCCCATGCTTTTAAAATAAAAAAAAAATACATACACCTCCAGTGAAAATTCACACAAACCCTAGGCATTACTAGATTGTGGAAGAGTGTTGATCATTTATCATATCTCTGAATTCCATTATGATAGCTATTCCACAGTGATTTTCATAACTGTTTAGGATGTGTGCTGAGGAAACTACAATTGAGTTGTATCCTAACTCGTTCTGCAGATCAAGAGAAGTAATACAGTTAAATCCAGTTAAAGCATCTGTTGCTGTGTACCTTTTCCTCCTGAATTGTAATTGCTGCTTGTGATAATGATGTGCCTTTTAATACAGAGTTGGGTTTGTATCTTCAGGGTTAATGTCAGTGATGGCAGACATTAGACCAAAGAATGATTTGGGTCATCCATTTTGTGATAATTTAAGATCTGGAGATTGGATGATTGATTATGTCAGTAATCGTCTGATTTCACGCGGAGGAGCCTGTGCAGAAGTAAGTAAAAATACTTATTTAGTGACTTTGCGGTTTTATATTACTAGTTTATTTCCTTTTTAATTACTGTTATATTTTTAAATTCAGTCTGTCTATAATGTATTTCTTGTCTAGACAATTTCTTCTAAGAGATTAAACCATTAGTGTGTCTTTCCTCCCTATCTTCAATCCTATTTCAGAATAGACTGCAAAAGAGAGCTGAAAAATCTGTAGGGCATGAAGGGGTTGCTAGCTCTTATATAAAGGCCTGCAATGGTCCTTCCTTATTTGTTTATTGCTTTTCCTCAAATAAAAATGAAGTAACCATTTTTTTTCAAGTAAGTACTTTGAAAAGAGGGCCTAAATACTACTGAGGCATACATGATGATGATAGTTATAGTAAGATTGTGCAGTCAAGCACAGAGAAGATAGGAATTACTGAGATGCAAGTTAGTTGTATAGCTGCATTACAATACAATCCTTTTCTTTCTTTGTGAGATTTTATTTTCCTGCACAACAGTTGCTTTATTCATTTCACAAGATGAAGACTTTATTTGAGTAATGAATATAATAGTAAAGGCTTTAGCATTCTTATTTCACTTTGTTCCTGAAGTCAAGTGTAGTGATACAAAACAGAAGAATGGATAAAGCAGTCTGATGTTGTACTGAAGTGAATGCCGAATCTGACCACAGAGACAGAGCTTTTTTGGAAAGGAAGCTAGTCTAATACTTGCTGGATTTACTGGATTTACTGCTCTTCAAAGAATGTTGCTTATTTTTTCTGTGTATTTTTAGGAGTTCTTCATTTGTAGTGTCTCATTCTGTTCTGCAGAAAATACGAAGTGCCTATAGCTATACTGAAGTCACATGAAACTGAACTTTACAATTTCACTCTTTACATAAGTAACTTTCCCTTCATTATTTCCAGGTTAAAAGTATAATGTCATCATGTAATATATTGACATGTACTTTCTTCATCTGCACAATTTTCATCTGCAAGGTTTAAATCTTTAGTGACTTTCTAGTAGGTTGTCATGTTCTTCTTTAACAGTAGTAGAAGGGAAAGAAGATAAACACTTCCCAAATGTCAGACATTTTGCAGTGACACACGCTCCAGAATCCTGAGTCCTAGACCCAGATCTGCAGTCATTTTCACTAATGACCGTACATAATTTAGTCTTCTGATAATTTTTCTATACCTGATCTCAAGCTTCATCTCTTCAGTCCTCTCTTTTTAAGCAATGAGAAACCTCCTTCCTCGGTTTGGTTGAAGTGATGCCTTTTGACTTTCAGGTTTCTTTTGCTACTCAGTTTTAATAGCTTCTTTGTGATAGCCGTTTTTTTTTTTTCCCCCATACCAGGCTAGCTAAATATAATCTGTTTCTGTATTGATGTTCTTGCCCATGTATGTCATAGTACAGAGATAGTACAGATTTTTCCTTACTATTTTTCTTAGAGTTCATCTCGTTTGAAATTTTGAAGCAAGAAGGTACAGCAATTCCACCACTAGTATCTAGCATAGACATCATCTTAGACATGAATGGTTGTATGCCAGTGGTGTTATTAATAACTGAAGATACCTCATCTTTGTGGTGGTCAGGCATAACTTGGGTCTAATAAATGTACAAAAACTTTGATGAATACTTTAACTGGATGGATCCTGAAAGCACTGATTTTTTTGAACCCTAGTGTTATAGAATTCTAATTATATTGTATTTTAATAGGTTGGTAAATGGTTGAAGGCCATGTTTGTCTACCTGAAGAGAATTCCACGTTACCTCATCCCATGTTACTTTGATGCCATATTAGTGGGTGCATACACAACGCTTCTGGATGTGGGATGGCATCAGATGTCTAGGTACGCTTGGTATATCAGAGGTATAGAGGTATCTGTATGTATTTGCACCTTTGAAGTTTTATCTGCTGGAGAATATAATTGGAAGATTTTCATACTCATCCAAAGTAAAAGGGTAATATTGGTAGTGAGTGTCAAATCTGTCTTCTAACAGTAGTTGTTTGGAAGGTTAAGAGTTCAGATGTCTATCCAGGTTTTGAATTTATAACTACTGTTGGCATTGTGCAGTAGGAGGAGGAAAGCTTAAGCCAGCATTTCTTTGCCAGGCTTCAGAAATTTTTTTTGGTATCATTTTAGTACAACCGCAATGATTCCTTAAAGTTTAGGGAAAAACAATAATACCAGTTGTACTTGATGGTGATGCTTTGTTCAACATTGCTTCTCTAACACAGCTAAATATCCTTCATTATCTGAGCACTTTGCTTAGTTCTTGAATTAATTGTTTAATGGTCAATGTCTGCTTCTCTTTTGTTTCTTAAAAAAGGAAGGGAAGTTGACTTAATAGAGGCTTTATTCTAGCTATGAACATTCTGAACAAATCAAAATTGTTTTGTAAAAGTAGAGATGTTAAAATGGATGTAGAATTTGGTATGGCTGTGAAATCATGTGGAAATTAGTATATTTTGTGAAAAAATGCTTGGAGAAGAACTAGTCAGGAATGCAGGTTGCATTGTTTTAGACTGTGTTAATTGAGTTACTGATTTAGAATTTTTAATATGCATGAATATACATAAAACTATGACTATCTGTAAGAATTCTGACTAGGTTTGGCAGAAACTTTCGTTCATAGTAAAATACATTTTCTCATATTTTTTTGAGATTTTGTGTCTGTAGGCATCAGGTAAACCAAACCAAGTTCCTTTTTTTTTTTTTTTTTTTTTTTTTTTTACCCTTTTCCCTGGGAGTATTTGACATAAACAGTCCCATTGGCATTAATAAATTAAAATTTAAGGCTAACATTGGGTATCCATTTTGGGGAAAAACGTGATTTACAAATTAAAGCTTATGTACAAAATCAGTTAATACAAAATGCTAATATTAACTCATTGTTTATTATATTTATTAAGCATAATATGTCTTCTGTAAATGAAAAAGGGTTCATTTTATAGACTGATATTGCTGAATGCAAAGTTATTTTAATTTGTGTTGAATTACAGCTTTGTGCAGAATGGATCAACATTTGTTAAACACCTTTCCTTGGGTTCAGTCCAGATGTGTGGGATAGGAAAATATTCTTGTCTGCCAGATCTGTCTCCTTCCTTACATGATGTTCCCTATAGGCTGAATGAGATTACAAATGAGAAAGAACAGTGTTGTGTTTCCTTGGCGGCTGGTAAGTGAGGACAACTTTAAAAAAAAAAAAAAAAAAAAAAAATCCGAAATAGTTAAACTGTTTTTAGTAACTATATTAAAATGGTCTTCATTGTGCTTGGGCGCTATACGTCAGCAACCATGTATGAGATGTAGGCAGCAGTTTTCCTCACTTTTCCCATATGTTTTAACTTGTGTTTAAAATAAAGATTTGCCCATATTAAAAATGTGGGAGTTTTGTATAGCAGTACTTCTTGGGGACAGCCATTTTATTACTGCTCTTGGTGGGGGTGGGGAGGGAGGCTTATGAACACTTTATTTAGAGACATTTTTAGCTATACCCACTTCTGTCATATATTGAGATCCACAAGTATGTTCTCTTTCTTTCCAGAAGACTTGCTTAAGATAAATATACTTAGCATAGTAAGTTTTGGGTTATCTTTTTTAAACATGAATTCAAGAACTGAATTCTAATGAAGTACAGAGGTGAATTTATTGTTTACAAGTTCTCAGAAAAAAAAAAAAAGAACTGTTAGCAGACCAGAAGAATGCCTGATCTGAAACTGTCTCCAAAAGGAAAGAGAATAAAAGCAGTCAGCAAATAGTATTTATATCTTTGGATGTTCTGCCAGCATCTGGCAGTCTTCAAACTGGGCACTTGCCTATGTCAGAAGTATTATCTGCTGTGTCTAGTGGCTTAGAATGAATTTATTTTTGTTCTGAGTTGGCCCATTTGTTTTCTGAAACACAGAAACTTTTAACTTCCACAGATTCTATGGCATCTGTCTCACTAGGGTGTTTATTTTCTTCTTCTTTTTGCTGTCTCTCTTTCTCTCATGGAATTCTATTTCTTTTAGTTTCTGTTTTTTAAGAACATTCCATTTGCCTGCCTCGGTGTTACCTAGATGCACAGAGGCACAGTGTTCCCTTGAATTGGTCATAAAGATTAATTATACTAAAGGGTTTGGTTTTAAATATTCCCTTCACACGTTCGCTGGTAATTGTGAGATTTTAACTCGTGGATTGTCATTCTCAACTGCTGTTGCCATATACTATAAAATTGCAGAGGTGTGGAGGCCATATTTCAGTATTAGCAAATACTTTGGAAAAGTAAGTGACAGAAGTTAAAATGTTGTTCTATCAAGCATGCACAGCAGACTGCCATTTTGAAACTTTACCATATGGAATTTTTTGATTGTTAGATTCAAAAATTTAATAGGTGGAAGAAAAGAGAAGGATGTACCTTACTGCTGTTGTTGTTATGCTTTATCAGTCAGAATCTTTCTTAGTAAGACGTAGTTCGAGAAGCTGCTGGAAGAGAGGAGCAGGATTCATTTTGTAGTGGCTGAAAACAATTCTGGATTGAAGAAATTCATAGCTCTCCAGTCTTCTCTTTTATGCTACTGAGATGGCATGGCTCTCATACATAAACTCCTGACAACAAACCATTATAAAACTTGTCATAGTTCTGGCTTTTGGTTTATTGGTTTTCTTTCTTTTTTTGTGTGTGTGTTTTTTAATTAAAGGATGTCATTTGGTTAAGTAACAAAGTGATTTAATAAAAATTTAAAGGTGAATGTTAATAGTACGAGAAATTCTGTTGTGCAGTCTTGACATTCTAGATTAATTGTTCTAAAATGAGGTTTTGTTTCATTTTATCAACAACTTGTTCTGGAAGGTTGTTTAAATATCTCAATCTAGGAAAAAATATAAATGTGAATATATTTTTACTTCTGGTTATTTTGGACATACGTGTGTGCTTGGAGGTGTCTGCCATATCAATAAATGAGATGAACAATGACATTTCTTTTTAGGTTTACCTCACTTTTCTTCTGGAATTTTTCGCTCTTGGGGAAGGGATACCTTTATTGCACTGAGAGGTCTAATGTTAGTTACTGGGCGCTATCTAGAAGCAAGGTAAGACTGACTTATTCTTGGTTCTTACTGGTTTTGCAGTAGTTCGGAAAAAGACAACTCTCAAAACCTGAGGTGACACACAAGCTGTTAGAAACAGTCAATGTGCAGTATAAAACTTTAATGGCCTTAGATGGATTTGGAAGTTGTCTCCAAGTGGAATTAAAAATATTACTTAAATGATTTTCATTTGCTTTCTTAGCATTGATGTGAAGCTGATGTTCTGTATAGATAAGGTGGGTTTAACCCCTGTAACATTACTGCTTGTCCTTAAACAAAGTGATTGTGTTTTGTATGTACTTTCATTATTGTTGCTGAGCAATAATTTCAAAATTACTTCTTTAAAATTTGAAGTAGCAAGAGAATACAATTTTAGTCAGAAAGATACGATTGCATGTCTATAGTGATTTTTTTTTTGTGGTAAATGCTAATATTTGTCTATTAATACTATAAATCAGCTAATTATGGATTGTTACAATTTGATATCTGTTTGTAAATGTTTAACCTGACAAATAGGGCAAATATAAGCCAGATGTATTGATTTGGTATTTCCATTAATCTTTTTAATTTGGGTGGAGCTTGCCACATCATACAACCATAAAAATTAGTTGCTTTAAATTAGTATGTATTTATGCTGTTGTAGACTTGGCCAACTATTACCTTTCTTATGCAGTGAGATCTGCAGTCTACTGGTATGTTAATATTCCCTTTTAAAGCTAGTTGGAGTCCATGTTTTCTGCAAGGTATGCGCAACGGTACTCAAATGAAACTTCTCATAACCTCAGTTGCTGTCACCTCTCTGTATTTTAATAGGAAATTCCCATCTACTCCTGCCCTCCGTCCCCATTCTACCCCACCCATCAGAATGGATACCAGGGTAATCATAAACAATGTCAATAAAAACTTTCCCTATGACCTGAGTGGGATTTGGATTTAGGCTCTGTATCACTACCTATGAAAAAGCAATGAAAAAGCAAACTAGCTTTTCCATATTAGCAGATATTGTATGTTTTGTACAAACTGATTTAAATGTATTCATGTTGGGGAATTTGTAGGGAATAGATGACTTTTTCTTGTAAAGGAAGTTCATGCTAAATGAAGTAATTTGTGGCTTTCAACAGAAAACTTTTGGCATCTGTCTTTAAGATCCTGTTTGTCTCTGACTTACCTTGCTGTTAAGGCAAACTTGTGTGCTTTGTACTTAATGCTTGGTCCAATAATGGCCTTGAAAGCAACTTAGTCAAGGCTGCATTTTTCTTTTGTTCTAGAAACATCATTTTAGCATTTGGTGGAACTTTAAGACATGGTCTCATTCCCAATCTGCTTGGCCAGGGGACACATGCCAGATACAACTGTCGTGATGCTGTGTGGTGGTGGCTTCAGTGTATCCAGGACTACTGTAAAATTGTTCCAAACGGATTAGACATTCTTAGATGTCCTGTTTCTAGGATGTACCCAAAAGATGAGTCTTCTCCTCAGCCTGCAGGCACTGTGGTAAAGATCACTTCTGATTCAAGTATTGAACACAACAATAAATTTTTAATGAAGGGATGTTATTTTTCTAGGTACAAGAACCTGCCACTATCTGTTGTTTATGGTGAAATTTTATTATAGCACAAGAATTCAATTTTTTAGGCACTTCTCATTAAATTTGCGTCACATGGTTAGACCAGGTGCAGGGGTTTGGGAATGGAGGAAAATAAATTCCGTCAGCATCTAAATTTTTTATTTGCTTTTGCTCTTGAAAAAATGTTTATATTAAAAATTGTATAGTGTATTGCCATTGACAAAAATCCTATGAAAACGTTAGATGCTTTTCTTTTAAAGTATCATAAACTAGAGGCTAAGAATTGCTACTATTTGCACATTAGATAGAGCCTTTCCTACTCATTTTTCATCTTGCCTTTCATATATCATCCAAACGTGCCATCAATCTAGGATCAGCCACTTTATGAAGTAATACAGGAAGCAATGCAGCGGCACATGGAAGGCATAAACTTCCGAGAAAGGAATGCTGGTCCTCAGATAGATCAAAACATGAGAGATGAAGGTAACATATATAGAACACTTGCTATGCAATTCAAAAATATTGATTATATTTTGTATTTCTTTTCCTCTAGCTATCGAGTATAACTTCAAAAAATTAATTATGCTTAATGCAACTTAAACTATGTTACTTTAAGTACATTTGATATTTTAAAAGTGCCTAATTAGTTGTTTATTATTAGCAACTGTTTATATGTTGTGGTACAAGTTCTCTTTAAATGAAAGTTCACTTAAAGTACAGATCTCTTGTTCAGAGTTATTTTTTGTTTGTTTAGGAGGTTTGGGATGTGGGGGGCAGTTGGGGTTTGGTTTTGTTTAAAATATAGACTTAACACCTGATATTCTTTCTTGGCAGGCTTTAATGTAACTGCAGGTGTTGACTGTGAAACTGGCTTTGTCTTTGGAGGGAACCGCTTCAATTGTGGCACTTGGATGGATAAAATGGGAGAGAGTGACAGAGCTTGCAACAGAGGAATTCCAGCTACTCCAAGGTACAAAATCCAGGCTTTTGGGTGGATTTTTAAAATTTTTTAACCAAAATTTCTCTGCAGAACTACTATGTCTTCCACTGACACATCTGAGAGGTGATCTCTCAAATGTTCTAAATGTTTTTGCCTACTAAAATGTTAATGATAATTTTTTAATTTGTGCTCATTTGAAGAAAAACGGTGTGTTCATAGCAGGTGAAGCCCTCGGTTGGTGGCATGGTCTTAGCTGCCTGCAAAGAGTCAATGTTTGAATTCAAATAGTAAAATGTAATTTAGGAAAAACTGTGTACTTGTAGTGCTAGCAGTACTTTGTTATTTAGACTTGTTATAGGAGATAGATCTTGATAATTGTTGTGTCATTTCAATTCTTCTTATTTAGAATTCAAAAATATCTACATCATCATATGTTTTTAAAGTTAAGATTAAAAATTTTAAAAATAAGCTCTTTACTATGTGTTAGTAAACTGCTGCAGACATCCTTGCTTGAGTTCAGTACAGCATCACAGAATCTTGGAATGGTGTGTGTTGGAAGGGACATTAAAGATCATCTCGTTCCAAACCCCCTGCCATGGGCAGGCACACCTTCCATTAACCAAAATTTCTCTGCAGAACTACTATGTCTTCCACTGACACATCTGAGAGGTGATCTCTCAAATGTTCTAAATGTTTTTGCCTACTAAAATGTTAATGATAATTTTTTAATTTGTGCTCATTTGAAGAAAAACGGTGTGTTCATAGCAGGTGAAGCCCTCGGTTGGTGGCATGGTCTTAGCTGCCTGCAAAGAGTCAATGTTTGAATTCAAATAGTAAAATGTAATTTAGGAAAAACTGTGTACTTGTAGTGCTAGCAGTACTTTGTTATTTAGACTTGTTATAGGAGATAGATCTTGATAATTGTTGTGTCATTTCAATTCTTCTTATTTAGAATTCAAAAATATCTACATCATCATATGTTTTTAAAGTTAAGATTAAAAATTTTAAAAATAAGCTCTTTACTATGTGTTAGTAAACTGCTGCAGACATCCTTGCTTGAGTTCAGTACAGCATCACAGAATCTTGGAATGGTGTGTGTTGGAAGGGACATTAAAGATCATCTCGTTCCAAACCCCCTGCCATGGGCAGGCACACCTTCCATTAGACCAGGTTGCTCAAAGCCCCGTCCAGCCTGGCCATGAACACTTCCAGGGAGGGCACATCCACAGCTTCTCTGGGCAACCTGTTCCAGTGCGTCACCACCCTCATAAGAAAGGATTTATTTCTTAGATCTAACCTAAATCTACCCTCTTTCAGCCTGAAGCCATTACCCCTTGTCCTAATCACTACATGCCCTTGTCAAAAGTCCCTCTCCAGCTTTCTTGTAGGCCCCCTTCGGATACTGAAAAGCTGCAATAAGGTCTCCCTGGAGCCTTCTTTTCTCCAGGCTGAACAGCTCCAACTCTTTCAGCCTTTCTTCACAGGAGAGGCGCTCCAGCCCTCTGATCGTTTGTGTGTCACTCCTCTGGACCTGTTCCAACAGGTCCATCTCTTTCCTGTGCTGGAGGTTCCAGAGCTGGATGCAGGACTCCAGGTGGGGTCTCACCAGAGTGGGGCAGAGAGGCAGAATCACCTCCCTTGACGGTCTGGCCATGCTTCTTTTGATGCAGCCTAGGGTACGATTGGCCATCTGGGTTGCAAGCGCACATTGGTGGGTCATGTTGACCTCATCAACCAGCACTCCCAAGTCCTTCTCAGGGCTGCTCTTAATCCATTCTTTCCAGGCTGTATTTATGCTTCCGATTGTCCTGACCCGTGTGCAGGACCTTGCACTTGGCCTTGTTGGACTTCGTGAAGTTTGCACAGGCCCACCTCTAGAGTCTGTCAAAGTCCCTCTGCATGGCATCCCTTCCCTCCAGTGTGTCGACCGCACCACACAGCTTGGTGGCATCAGCAAACTTGCTGAGGTTGCACTCGATCTCACTGTCCATGTTGCCAACAAAGAGGTTAAACAGTGCTGGTCCCAGTACTGACCCCTGAGGAACAGCACTCGTCACTGGTCTCCACTTGGACATTGAGAAATTGGCCATAACTCTTTCAGTGCGACCATCCAGCTAATGCCTTATCCACTGAGTTGTCCATCCATCAAATCCATCTGTCTCCTATTCAGAGACAGGGATGTAATGCAGGGCAGCATCAAATGCTTTGCACAAGTCCAGGTAGATGATGTCAGTTGCTCTTCCCTTATCCACCAATGTAGTAACCCCATTGTAGTAGGCCATCAAATTTGTCAGGCATGGTTTGCCCTTAGTGAAGCTGTGTTGGCTGTCACCAGTCACCACCTTATTCTCCGTGTGCTATAGCATAGTTTCCAGGAGGATCTGCTCCATGATCTTGCTGGGCACAGTGATGAGACTGACAGGCCTGTAGTTCCCCAGGTCTTCCTTTTTTTCCCTTTTTAACAATGGGGGTTATGTTCCCCTTTTCCAGTCCCTGGGAACTTCACTGGACTTCAGGACTTCTCAAATATGGTGGATAGTAGCTTAGCAACATGAGGCTACTCCTATCTGCTTACAGAGGGCCTTGTCTGCTCGGTCTTCCTCATCAGGTGGTCCACCATAATGTCACCAGTCCCTGCCCTGCCTTTAATCCTGACCCATAAGCTCTCGGTCGGCTCCTCATCCATCAGTTTCAAATCGATTGCTGTCTGTGGGCAAGAACTGAAGAAAAACATTTCTCTTGCTTGACAAGTCAGGCACTTGAATTGAGAACCAAGAGAGGTTGAGGTATCTGCCCGAAAGAGGCTAAAACAGTGGTGCTGGAGAAAAATTTTACATCAAGCAGGCACGAAAACTCAATATGATATAATATGAAATTTATGCATATAGGGATTGTCTGAATAGCACCTGAAAAAAGAAGTAAACCCAAGAAATGCATTTAGTGCTTAGTTTAATGCTTCACTTTTGACTTATCTATTATGTCAGAAACATTACCTAAGTTACCGAAGTTCATGTGCAGATGAGAACCTCTGTATTGAACACAGTTTTAACATCAGAGGTCCAAGTTGTTTGACGCTGATCCTTTTTTCATGTTCGTAATCACTGATATGAAATGATCTTAAATCCGTGCAAATTACCTGGGTATGGTAATACCACTTTGAATTAATCTATTGTACAGAAAAAAAGTATCTGTTAGCCAGTTTAGTCAAGCTCATTCCCTGGCTGTTAGCTGACACAAAACCTCACCTGTTTTCACCCTTTCCTCCATTGTTTCCTGGTGGAATCGTGCTGATCTAAATAAAAGTAAATTGACATGGTTTGCTTATGCTAATGTTCTCTTCTCATACTCTTGGCCCTTCATGAAACTCAAAAGTACCCTATAAAACTGAGTGTGCCTGAAAGTGGGAGACAAGCTTCAGCGTAGATAAAGTTAAGATACACATCTAGGGGAAAAATAGCCTAAACCATGCCTACACAGTGCTGTCAGAACTGAGCTACAACGCAGGAAGGAAATCTGAGTCATTGGTAGCTTTCTGAAATCATATCTTGTGTACAGCAGCAGTCAAAAAAGCTAATAATAATTAATACTATTAGCTGTCATCGGTAAAGTTTTTTAGAACAAGCCAAAGGGCATCACTCGGCCTCTTTGGGAAACACTACACCTGCAAGATGCATTTGTGTCTCGAGTGTTATGTGTAGTGCTGGTCTCAAGAAGGACTTAGTAAAGGATGGTACAGAGAAAGGCAGCTAAAACTGAAAAGGATAGAGTAGCTGCCTTGCAAGATGAGACTGGAACATCTAAGGACTCTTCATTTTCAACAGAATATGGGTGAGAGAGGTGTGACAGAAGTTTAGAAAATCATGACGGTAGTGATAAGATGGAGCTGTTACAAAACACTGCAATACTGTAGAACTTTGGGATGCTTATACAGGAGAAATAAGGGAATAGTAGGAGAATAGGGAAAAATCAAGTGTCTAAATAAGATTTTTTTTTTTTTACAGTTACTTATTGAACTTTTAATAGTCTTTTTAAAGTAATTCTTGGGCTTTTTTTATTGTCATTATTTTAGAGATGGCTCTGCTGTGGAAATTGTTGGCCTGTGCAAGTCTTCTGTTCGCTGGTTACTGGATTTATCTGGGAAAAATGTGTTTCCATTCCATGGAGTCACTGTAAAAAGACATGGTAAAAACAGGCATATCTCATAATTGTGTTATTGGAGTATAAAAATAATTAAAACAATGAAATTGTGGCCATGTAACATCAGGAATGATTATTAAATTACACAAGAAGGTTTAGGGGTAAAAAGGGAAAATTTGGGAAAGTGTCTTGTATGAGTAAAATATTCTGTTACTACAAGAATTTAAGAGTTGATATTGTCTTACCAATATTTCAAATATTTTATTCCATCTATTAAGGTGTGGGTTACAAAGGAATTTTGAAGCCTAAATACCATTTCTCAAAATGGACATAAGGGATAGGGTTATTATGTATTATGATGATACGCATCATTCATTACAAGAATGCTAAGTAAAATGACACAAGACACTTCTTTTTCTTTTCTTTTTTTTTCAATATTCACAACACAGAAAACCACTTCTTGTGAGTATTTACCTAAATAGCTGCAGATGTCCATTATGTTTCAGAATGATATTGTTCTGGTTACAGAGTTACTTCACCTTGAGGTTACCCAACCTAAGTGCATATACGTGCTCTATAAAGGTGTTTTACTCTTCAGTAAAGGATAATATTGGAAAACAATTAATTTAATGGTTCTTTTATTCTGTTTTAGAAAATGTGGATGTAAGTGGGGCTTTTTCTCCTGTCGGTCCTAGACAGTACAGATTCTTAGATCATGAACTTACTTGTCACTTGAGGATTTCTTAAAATATATGGCTAGAGTAAAATAATTTAGAATTCAGTACACAGCAAGTATTACAATCTGCAGATGCAGAAATAATATTCATAGGACTTGTCTTGTCTCTTCTTGTTCCAGAATCATAAGCAACTTTTTTAGATTCAATGTGATGTGTGTCTGCTCCTTACTGTTGTTAATCTCATGTAACTGGGTTTAAATTTCATTCATCTACTGCTGAATATAGTTAAAAGACAAGCTTAATTCCTATTTATGATCTGTGCCTTGTTTCTTAAGAATAGGCTTAGTGTTAGAATTTCTAGGGTTTTTTTGTTGTTCTGGCAATACCGTATTTCAGTTTTAGTAGTATTGTCCTTTTTAAGTAGTATTGTCCTTTTTACTATAATCAAGGTGTAGTTTAAGAAAACCAGGTAATACTCCTGTACTCACTTAATGTAAAACTAATGTACAATACTATTTTGGGGTCTTTCATAAAAGCATTGCTTATTTAAGATGTATGTGTGTCTCATACGTGTCTTCTCAGTCAGGAAGATATCCCTAGCACAATTCTGCTGACTAAAATCTGATGTTTTTCTAGTCTCACTTGAAGTTTCAGTGAGCTGTTCCTGTGAACTATAGAATTGGTCTAAATGTAGGGAATCACCAGCTGGAGAGAGACAATCCTGAATCTGTTCCTGTTCTGTTAAGTGTCAGGAGTTCAGGAAAACAAAGCTTTTAAAAGTGACACAATCAAATGTTTTGACATAGTCTTTGAAGTCTCCAAAATAGCAAGAATATGTATACCGAGTACTATAAAAGAGCTGACGTTACCATGCTGAAATGTTAATTATAAAATTTAAACTTACTCAATTATATATGTACTGTAGATCACAGTACCTCATACTGTTTGCTCCTACCTAACTGTAAGTTAGAAAATATTGTGTAAAAAAGCTGTGCATGTGTTGGAGTTGATCTGCAGTATAATTCAACTTCTGGATAAGAACTTTTTGCAGTGCTACTATGGCCTTTATTGTGTTAGGCGTATCTTCAGTAAAACTTCAATAAGCAAATCAGTAAAAACAGACACAAGCATACTTCCAGTGTTACCACTGTGACTGTTTTCAGAAAATAAAACCTGTATGTAACATCTTGCAGGAAAGGAGGAGACAGTCACATATGATGAGTGGAACAGAAAAATCCAAGGACACTTTGAAAGGCTGTTTTTTGTTTCCGAGAACCCAGCAGACCCTAATGAGAAACATCCAAATCTTGTTCACAAACGTGGAATTTATAAGGACAGCTATGGAGCTTCAAGTCCATGGTGTGATTATCAACTCAGGCCAAATTTTACAATAGCAATGGTTGTGGTAAGTGAAGGGGAATGGGGAGAAGCATTTGAACCTAAAATTTTCGTTCTTACTGAAGTAAGCTTGCATTGTAAGGTTCATCTGCATGGCATTGTATCAGGAACATACATTGCTTAGAATAACTTCTTGAAACCTTTTATTTTCCATGCTTTTAAGATTGGTCAGTGTTGGAGTAGCTCCTAAAAATGCATCATTGACAGGACTTGCCTAAATGAAACTGCTGTCCAGTGCATAGGTAGGATAAATTTGCAGTGTGTGCTGTTATTCAGAATGTCTTTTAAGGTTAGGTCTGGGAGGTCACTTTTCCCGTCTAATTAGATAAAAAAACATGGGTTGTTTGTCTTTACTGGGTTTGTAAAGAGCTTCATTAATAATTCTTGGCAAGTCTATTTGAAATACAATTTTTAAAAAGCACTGGATAGCTTTTGTCTTCTTGCTTACTCTGACTTCTAGGTTCTGGAAGTTGATTCAGTAACAGAAAACTTGGGCTTTTTGTGGTCTTCCACAGTTGTATACACAGTCTTATGTGTGCACATGCACAGAGTTTACTCATCAAATCTTTATTATTTTATTAGGCCCCTGAGTTGTTCACACCTGAGAGAGCTTGGAAAGCTCTTCAGGTAGCAGAGGAAAAACTACTTGGTCCATTAGGCATGAAAACCTTAGACCCAGAGTAAGTATACTAGAGACAAGAAGTGTTAGTTACAAAACATGTCAGGAGTTATTTAACATGTGGGGGTAGTATTTCTTTTGTTAAAATCCTCGTACATACTTGTGAAATAAGGCTGCAATAAATACTTCCGGAACGATTATTTTACTGTTCTAAAAGTCCATGCAACTGATTTTATTTATGTAGTCAATTGCCAGGTGGTTTTGGATGCCACACAGTAAGCAAGTCAAATCTGGTATTATAGAAGATGTTGAATTTGCATCTTTATACATACTTATATATGATGCAGTGCACACCACTACAGTTTGAGTAAAAGCATAAGGGCAAAATTATCAATTCAAATCATTCCAAGACTTTAACTGTTTTACTACTAGCTTAAACTCTGTTTGGAATTCCATTGTCATGTAAAACACGAAGTAGTGGAGACCTCCCAAACTTAACCGTTATTAAATGTAAATGCCCTGGCGAATTTTTGGTCCATTTCTGCTTTCTATTTTTATGTATCATTTTTGTTAAGGCTTTGTTTGCATAATTTTTATTTTTTCTTGCAGTGACATGGTTTACTGTGGAGTATATGATAATTCTCTTGACAATGACAACTATAATGTAGCCAGAGGTTTTAATTATCACCAAGGACCTGTAAGAGACAGTTTCTTCAACTTTAGCAAAAGTGCCATCAACTTTTCAAACTGACAGCTATAATAAGAATCTCTTTTCATTCTTTGCTTAGGAATGGCTGTGGCCAATTGGATATTTTCTTCGTGCCAAATTGTACTTCTCAAAGCTGATTGGTCCAGAGATATATGCAAAAACTGTAGTTATGATTAAGAATGTTCTTTCTCGCCACTATGTTCACCTTGAAAGGTAAGGTACCAACTAACACAGATTCAAAATACTCGTTCAAGCTAGTGGTATCCACTATCCAATTGCATGTACAGATCTATCGTATAAACAGCAGCTGTCTTCTACATATAAAATTCACGGCTGTATGCGCTATTGCAGGTCTCAGATCATGTTTCAAGTACAGCTGAGTTCTAGTGCTTTTTATAGATTGCAGAAGTGCTAATGCTTACCCATGGGAAGACTGGGTGAAATAAATCTTATGTAAAAATGAGGATCTAATTTCATACAAAAAATGAATTTCAGAAAAAAATGTTGGTGAGTGAGTTGTTTTTTTTTCTTTTAAAAATCAAGTATGTCAAAACAACCTGCAAAACTGAATAGTTAAAGGGCTGGTAGCGACAAATTAAAATGGTGGCAGATAAGCTGATGCAAAATATTGTTAAGATTTCATGTGTTATAAATGAGGAAATTAGTATGAAAATGTTTCAGAGTCTTAACAACCTTGATAGTCTAAGAAGGCAGAGGAACTTGCTTGGGCTATAAGCATTTGTTTGTACCTGTAAGAGTAACTCAGTAGGACTGGTCATGACAGAATTGGTGGTCTGACCACACCAGGAAGAATAGATATTTGTTAAGCAACTTTTTACCTTACTTAGTGTCTTGTTGCAGTGTCTTGTCTGGTAGTACTAACCAAATAACTTGTGGTTTGGTAATATTCTTTGTTTTTTCTGTCTTGATAGAGTAGTGTACTTTTACTCTGTTTTGGTATTTCGTTTGTGTACAGAATTATTAATGTAGCAACAGGCTGAACTTAGGAGTATTTCTGTATGTTAGTTTGTGAGGTTTTTTTGTATTCCTGTGCAGGAAAAGAGGGCTTATGTAATCATGCTATCTTCCAGCCATTACCACTTTTTAGCACCATAATCCAGTTTCAAGTGTAGTTTCAGTATCATTCAGTTATCTCAAAAATCATCCATATTCTTCAAACTGCAAAACTACCTGAATGAGAAACAGGGGCAACATGCCAGTAGTGTAAGTTCAGCTATTACTAGTAGCAGAGAGTCTGCTTTGAAGGAAAGGCATCCCCACAAGAAACTACAATTCCCAGCTGCATGGGGATAGGCGTATGGGTGGGAATTGAATTAGATTTCAGTTCTTAAAGAACATGCTGTATCTGGAGGACAGCAGACATTTAGTCATGGTTTGCAGTTTCCTACTGAGATAATCTTCCATAAGGTTTTAAAATGAAATGTTCTTTTAATTTCAATATATAATCTAACAACAACAATTGTTTTGTTTTTTTTCTTCTATCAGATCATCCTGGAAAGGGCTTCCAGAACTGACCAATGAAAATGGACAGTACTGCCCTTTCAGCTGTGAAACTCAGGCCTGGTCAATTGGTGTTATCCTTGAAGTCCTTTATGACTTGTAAAAGTTTATTTTGATTGATTTGATGAAACATCTGTGGTCTTGTTATTGTAGCATAAACGAACACTTGGCTTATAGTGCAAGGGAAATGTCCTGTTCTGCAGAACCACTTAAGCTGTGTCCTGACTTTCAATGATGCTGAATGCCAGCAGCTCCTATGCCCTGTAACTGTGTGGGGCTTGGGCTGTTTTTTGAAAATCAGGCCATGACAGTAGAATAAAATTGCAATGCACACTTGATGCAGAAACTTTTAGTAAGGAGAAATTTTAAGAATATGCACAAACTTAATTTTAAGAAGCTTTGGTTTTTTAGACTTTTCAAATCATAATCTTACAGTAACAAGGTGAGGTGGCTCTTTCCTGAGCTACAAATAAGTAGCGCAGCTCTTAGGGTTTTTTTTCATTGTCTCCTAAAGACTAGATGGATGTTTTGCAAATGCATGCTTAAAGGGGATTAGACTAACCTATAGCTTTCTGAATGTGGTATGCTTTGTGCTGTAGCACCATACATTAATTAAGGCATAGTATGTTGTGTCTCTGAACTGTATTAGGAGGATTATTTTTGTATGTGTTCAGTTGAACCACTCTATTAAGCAACCACAAAAATAAAGTTTACAAATACTGTAATAAACCAAACTTTGAAGTTATATATAAAATTTTCAGAAACTTTAAACTACATTGAGAGTTAAGCAATAATGAGGTAATATCCTATGCTAATCCATTTGTATTTTTATTTAAATAGTGGGCCATGCAGCAAACCTATTTCTTCATTTAAATCTGTTTCTCACTATGAAGAATTCATAAGAAACAGGTGCATATGTATACAATACACAGCTTATCTGTTGGGGGAGGCCAAAGATACAGAAGTCAATGTGCTTGACTGTTTAATTTACTGAAGAGGTATGGTCACCTCAGCCCTTTATTCATAGAAAAATCCTAGCTGTATTGAAGCACGTAGAAACGTTTAACATTGGTGTGAAGAGGTATTAGCCTACCACCAGAGAAGAGAAGTTAAGGTTTCTAAGCCTTTTGAAATTATACTAATAAGAATAAGCATGCTACATCTGTGTTGTTCTTTGGTAACAGCATCCAGTGAACATGATGCAAAACACATATGTTCCATCATATTTCGATGCCTGCATGCCCTTACTGAGTTCAGTTCAGTGTTCCCAAACTGAACGGTGGTTGACAGCAGCGCAGCTGGTAATTCTGACCTCTCTATTCATGTGACTTTTCCATCTTAGTGCAATGAATAGACAGAGAGTGAGCCTGACAAAACTTCCCACGTCACATGGGGGGAAAGAAAAACTCATACTGTATTTCTTAATGTTAGACAACGTATGCTGAAAAAATATACACAGGATGTAATTATAATGCACTAGTAACACTTAGGTCAAAACTATATTATATCCGTATTTTAAAGTTTCCATACCCTGTCTGAAGTACAGTGTAAGTATGATGTCTTGTTCAGGGAGACGTGTTACAGATAGATACATTTAAGAGCAAGTCAATAGGCTGAAGATAGATGAATTGCAAGAAGTGGCTATATACACACTGTTTATTTGAAAGGTTACTAAGTATTTGAACTCCCTTGCTGAAGCGTTCAGTACTTAAAAGTTATGATTAGGGAAGGTCTATTTTATACCTCAGCTTTTGAGCTGCTGCAGTACATGGGTTGGGAAATTTTTATTTTCTCAACATAATGCGTGAGATATGTCTTTTGTTGGAAAATGTTATTGAAATGCCAGCCATAGATGATTTTTTTTTTAATGTGCAAGAGGCATATAAAGTGTTTTTCATAAAGTACTGAACTTTCCAAAACTCTTGATAATGATTGAGGTTTATGTCCTACTGTATCACTAGCTTTTTACTGTTTTCCTTTTTCCTGGATACTTTTTCTCATTTATTATTTCAAGGTATGATTTATAGCTCCTATGGATTAGGAAGCAGGAACAATATGGCAGAATAAACTGCTCTTACTTGATAAAAACATTTTAAAATTGGAAGTGCAGCTTAAGAGCTGTCACTGTTGAAAAAAATTTCCAT